GATATGAAAATGGAGAAAAGATGTTAAGCTTTTTCATGTTATTTGATGCTAAATTACAATCCGTTCAATAGTTTGTTACTTCTTTTGTTATTTTACTTCACAATAATTTGTAAATACCAAATATACAAGGTAATGTTGCTTCCGGGTTTTTTTTTTTTTTTTGTTTGTTTGTTTGTTTGTTTAGAATTCCTGATCTGGGTTTACTTTCTATTGTATTGTTGATCCACTTATTGGCACTTGTTGATGAATCTCTATGATCTGCAACTGGGTTTTCAATTCATAGACTTGGTATTGCTGGCTGGGGAATCTAATATTGGATTTGGTTATATATGCTTTGAGAAGTCAATTCTTGCCCTTCTTTAGGTGGTAGTCTTAGTTGATGCATTTTGATGATTGAGGTTTCAGGATCTGATTTAGGATAAATGAGTGTTATTTGTCTCATTTCTCTGATCTGACTGCTTTTTATTTCCATCTAATGGGTAATTCCTTAACTCAGCTTATTCAATCTAGGAAGAGTTTAATTCATCCCGCCTAATGGCATTTACCAAGAATGGGATTATTTAACATAGGAAGTGACTGTTTGATCATTGATGCTTGCTAAAATGTTTGGTTTATATTGTTTCACTCTTAATGCTCTTATTCATCATTTCTCCATGTAATTTATGAAGTTTTCTCCCCCGAGGCTCTTACTTCTTTGTCATTAGATTTTTCATATTTTTGTCATCTTTTTAATCTCACTCATAGTGTTAAACATTGAACAGGAAGAAATATGGCTCCACTTACAAGAATAGGATTAGCTGGTCTAGCTGTTATGGGCCAAAATTTGGCCCTCAATATTGCTGAGAAAGGCTTTCCCATCTCTGTTTATAACCGAACTACCTCCAAAGTTGATGAGACTGTTGAACGAGCTAAACAAGAAGGTGATCTGCCTTTATATGGCTTCCATGATCCTGAAGCTTTTGTTCAGTCTATCCAGAAACCTAGAGTCATAATCATGCTTGTAAAGGCAGGGGCACCTGTTGACCAAACCATTAAGACCCTTTCTGCTTATTTGGAGAAAGGTGATTGTATCATTGATGGTGGCAATGAGTGGTATGAGAACACTGAGAGGCGAGAAAAGGCGATGGCTGAATTGGGATTGCTCTACCTTGGAATGGGAGTTTCAGGTGGTGAAGAAGGAGCACGACATGGGCCCTCTTTGATGCCTGGAGGCTCCTTTGAGGCTTATAAGTACATTGAAGATATTCTTCTTAAGGTTGCAGCTCAAGTTGAAGATAGTGGTCCCTGTGTGACCTATGTTGGTAAAGGTGGATCTGGTAACTTTGTGAAGATGGTCCATAATGGGATTGAATATGGTGATATGCAGTTGATTGCAGAGGCTTATGATGTCCTGAAATCTGTTGGAAAATTGTCCAATGAAGAACTACAAAGTGTTTTCTCAGAATGGAACAAGGGAGAGCTTCTGAGCTTCTTGATTGAAATTACTGCAGATATATTTGGAATTAAGGATGATAAAGGGGATGGGTATTTGGTTGATAAGGTATTGGACAAAACTGGTATGAAGGGTACTGGTAAATGGACAGTACAACAAGCTGCTGATTTGTCAGTTGCAGCTCCTACAATTGAATCTTCTTTGGATGCAAGGTTTCTTAGTGGGTTGAAGGAGGAAAGGGTTGAAGCTGCCAAACTTTTTAAATCTCGAGGATTTGATGATATTGTGTCCAACCAAACTGTGGACAAGGCAAAATTGATTGATGATGTAAGACAAGCTCTCTATGCATCCAAGATATGCAGTTATGCTCAGGGGATGAATCTTATTCGTGCAAAGAGTATTGAAAAGGGTTGGGACTTGAAGTTGGGGGAACTGGCAAGGATTTGGAAGGGTGGTTGCATCATCAGAGCCATTTTTTTGGATAGAATCAAGAAGGCTTATGATAGAAATCCTGATCTTGCAAACCTTCTTGTTGATCCAGAATTTGCAAAGGAAATCATTGAGCGGCAATTTGCTTGGCGTAGAGTTGTATGCCTTGCTATCAACTCAGGCATTAGCACCCCTGGCATGTCCGCCAGTCTTGCTTATTTTGACACTTATAGGAGGGAATGCTTGCCAGCTAATTTGGTTCAAGCTCAACGTGATTATTTTGGTGCTCACACATATGAAAGGACTGATATGGAGGGTTCTTTCCATACTGAATGGTTCAAGATTGCCAAACAGATAAACAACTGAGTCAGATTCTGTAGTATTTTTCAGAAATTCCAATAAGCATGATCATATCTGCTCTGGAAGTTATACCTGACAGAGCTAACAGTTTATTGTTTGGTGACAGTTGATCTCGGCAGCATTTCTGAAATCCAGTTACATATTTAAACCTTGTCTTAGTTTATTAGCTTTGGTTCTGTTTTGGCAGATATGCTTTTCTATTGTGTTTAAATTTGAGTGTTAAACAAGTTTGTGGTCCCTTTTCTATTTTACTGATAAATGGCCAATGCGAGGCACTGTTCTTGGTTCAATGTTGGAACCAGCTATTGCAATAAAGTTAATAATTTTCATGTGTGCTACCATTCTTTGCCTGTTGAGCATCATGAAATTTATTTCCTTATATAATTAGATGCCAAAATCTTTTTGGAATGTCACTGTTTCTTGCAGTCTCATATTATGATGCCTTGTTTTGGTTAATGTGTCTACATTTTCAAGATTGGTTTCTTGAAATAAAGTAAAAGCTCTTTCCATGTCTACCATTTTACTTTCTGTTAGCGTCTTCCATTTTGCTTATTCTTTCCCTTAATGTTTCCTTTATTACAGCAAAATAGTGCTTTTCTGGGCATATTTTCTAACCAGTAAGAGTATAATATGTTTTCTTTCCCTTTTTTCCGGCCCCAATATTATGTTTTCCATATGCCTTTTCCTTTTTTGACTTTGCAGCCATTCTTTGTATTTGTATGTATCAATCCAGCTGTTACACCTACACAAATGGTCATTATGCTGCCACAAAAATTGGCTTCTTTGCTTCTCATGGTTGGCATTCGTCTTTCTAAATAGATTTTTGTTCTTTACAGCACAGCATTGTTCCTTTCTTCTTGGCATGCGCATACTAACACATGAACTTAATAAATGAATTCATGTAACTTGATCTGGAATCATCTTAACCACCCAAGACAAATGTACATCTACAGAAGATACCGCCTGTTGTATTCCTATGCTGTTAATTGCTCTTTCTAGTATGCCAGACTTATCTTGTTTAGCGGGAATCGTGTATGGGAGATACTTGCTTTGACCCTGCATGCAGAGGGCAGTAATTTACAAGTTCTGCTAAAGAAAGTTGACCTCCTCCTTTAACCCTATGTTTACCGTGTCATTCTACTTCAGGTTTTCTTCTATCCTAACTTTTTCTTGTTCCATTTTGCAAGCAGCATTGAGAAGTTAATTTTCCCCTAGTTTTTCTGGTATGAACTCGGGACTATGATCTAATAGCTTAAGTTCAACATATATACCTGCCTGTTCATCTAACAACATAAGAAGTTGCATTGATATGGATACATGCAGTCGGAATCATAATGATCTTGTATTATATCACTTCTGAGGAGGTAAAGAATGAAGATACATTTATGATTCTGTTGTTGGAAAGAAGACACATTTGTCAGCCTGTCTCGGTGAATTTCTACTAACCTTTCCTGCTTTAGACTGGATTACTTGTGGTTCTTTTCCCGACTGCTGAATCTTCCTTTATTTTTGTTGCCACTGTCAAAGCCCCTTTTCTCCTGTTTCTTTGCCTCCTTACGAGAAGGACATTTGTTTGAATAATCCCCTTTGTCATTCTTGAGACGGGAATTGCTGTGGCTGTCTCGACCATTCTTAAACTTATGTTGTTGATGACTTGGGCCTGAAGAAGCATCAGAAGCCATTGAATCATCACTGCTCTCCTTCCGATCATCATTGTAACTGTAGTTTCTATAATGATTGTTGTTATCATCATTTTCCTGACTGCTTTCTGCATCTTCTTGCATGGGAGAGGAAATGTAAATTGTCCAACCAGATTCACTGCTACTGCAACCTTCAGAACCTGAGAAGCACTTGAAGTTTTCCATTAGTAGAGGCTAACGGGGTGATGAAGAAGGAAAAAGGAACACGAGGAAGAATCAAGTAAGGATACAAAAGTTTGTTATTTTCTTGAAATATGAAGCAACAGAGAGTTCTATTGTTTAGGCACAAGGAGCTCCGAGAGAGACAGAAAAGTCTATCCGGTATGAACTTCAACATTTGCTCATATATATATACATATATATTGTGTGGTTAAGACTTTGCTAATTAAACTTGAGGAGGACAGCTTATATCAACTTTAATTTAAACAAAATAATTAGGGAGAAAAATTAAAAAAGCAACGTAGATGAAATATATATATATAATGTGTATGCTCTCTTGGTCATAAAACTATTATCATTTTCCTCCTGTCACTGTCATCATACGCACAACACCTGCTTTTAGTGCAGCATACAGATGAACCCATCGGATGAACATGAAACTACATCCTTTACAATAAGAATTCTCTGTCTTTTCACAAGCATTCAGATGAACCCCATTCCTAAAACTGCAAGAAATATGAAACCCATGTCACCAAGCATGTTAGGGCACAGCCTCCCCACTTCTGCAATCATCTTTCCAGGCCTTTCCTTGTCCTGTTATGAGCTTTTCTGGACAAAACGTGGGGAGAAACCCAAGTGGGTTGTTTGGAGTTGTAGATCAGGATAATTCAGATGTGGTTACCTAAGATCTTTATGCTTTTGTTCTGTCTTTGTTTTCTGGTGTCTGTCTCCTAGGAAAGCTGGCCACTGTCTTGTTCTTATTACTTTTGGATAAAAACATGGCAAGGTTGGCCGGTGGCTGGTAGCGTTTACATTAGAGCCCTACCTGATACCCATTCTAGCACCCTACTTCACCAGAAAAAAACAAAGAAAAAAGAAAAAAAGAAAAAAATGAAGAAACATCCTTTTGAAAAGTATATTTTGCTTGCGGTTCGTTGTTTTTGACACTAATTGACACTAAACATGGATACTGAGTCCCTACAAATTGATTCTATCTTCAAAATTGTTCACCTTGCTTCAAAATTTTTCATACCTTTTGACTTAGAATTGCAATCATAAATTATTCAAAATCATATAGGAATGAGAAAGGAACAAGTGGGGAAATCTTCGCTTTTTAAAAGTCATGATTTTGTGTTCCCCACTAAAAATTGGTCCTCACTAAACAAATCTAGTGGGATCAATGTGCTTGAAGATTAATGCATCTCGACGTTTGTTTCGACCACCAGCCAAGGAAGACCTACCAATTACTATATAGTCAATGTGGAAATTACCTCCGTGAAATTATTCAAGTTCTCCATATAGGACTTACTTTATAGGATTAACTTGAATGTTAATGTGCGTATATCTAGTATATCTAGATGTGACGTGCATTAAAAATGCATTGAGAAGATCAAGATGTAGAAGATAGAGTTTGGAGAAATTATAATTTAATTATTTGTGAGTTTGGATTTATACATATAAAGATTTGAAATTTTAAATAATCATATACTATACTTGTAATTTGAGATCGGTGTATATAAAAATATAAAGTTTTTAAATTGCGCATATAAGCACCTAAGATTTTTACCAAGTGCACATAATCACTCATAAATACCATTAGTTTCCTTGCCTTTTCGTTATTATAAATGGAAGGCTTTTAAGATATTTTAAAAACTTTCAAGTAGCTATTTACAATTAATGCAAATCTCAAGTGTATATATGCACAATTTGAAACTTTGGGTCTTTATATGCACATATCTAAAAATATAACTATATTATATTCACATTTTTAGACATCAATTTTTTATATGCATTAATCTAAATCACAATAGCTAAAGTGGAATTTCCCGTTGTTCTCTCACTAAATGGAATAAATGAATAAAACAAAGACAAACAGACATTAAATGTCAAGATGGCCGAGTTGGTCTAAGGCGCCAGTTTCAGGTACTGGTCCGAAAGGGCATGGGTTCGAATCCCATTCTTGACAGAAAACTGTTTAATTTTGTTTATTTATTATGTTATATTAAGTACCTTCCCTCTTGCATCTCACACCATTCATTCATTTATTTTATTTTAAATTAATTATGCAATTAAAAATAATTATCTCTCATATTATATAATTTAAATTCGATATCTTTTACTTTTATTATAAGAAAATTTTGATTAAATTATTTAAATCGTTTTCATATATTAAATTAATTTTAATACAACTATTTATCCTCTCAAAAATGGAATTAAAGCAACTACATATGAAGAAAATTTATCAACTATATCCCCTCAAAAAATCGAACACTTTTCCTTTATATATGTATATGTACAATATATCGAGCATAAACATTAGGGAAGGAAACTTGTTAAGTAGGAACTGATTTCTCTAATATCCATAATTCCTTTGCTTTGCAAGGAATTTTTGAAGCTAATTTTAGGTGCATTTTCAAGAGTTACAGTTTTTGTGTTGCTTATAATTAAGATTTTTTTTTTAAAAAAACTAATATTTAATAAATTTTTAAGCCTTAAAGAATTAATTGGCTTAATATTTAGCAATCGGCTAAATTTTTAGAACTTGAAAAAGAAAAAAAAAAAAAGAAAAAACTTATCTATAAGTAGTTTAAAACTTTAAATCTCAAAAAGTAACAATATTTCCCCCTTTTTTTCCTCCATTAAATTTGTCAATTAACTTTAGAAAGAAAAAAAAATGCTGACTTCGGATGGTGGTGTGAAGTTGAACTGTATTAGATTGAGAATATCCTGAGCATATAATCTAAAGCTAAGTAAAGAGAGTCCAGAGAAATTAAGTCACCAAACAATTTCAATCCCCATTTGCCTTCCACCATTCACGGTGCCAAACACTTCCTTTTTCATCAGGTCCATTCAACTCTGCCATCATCATATATATATATTTTCTTTTTGTGGACGTTTCCATGCCGCCGCGTCCAGCCGTCCACTAACATTAATTAAAATACTACTAATATAACAGAAATTGATAAAAGATAAAAAAAAAAAAATGTTACTATTTTTGTGAAAGATAGTGTAAAAAATTAAGATGTTTTGATATTAAAAAATATTGAATTATTTAATCAAAATTGTATGAGTGTGATATAATATAAACCCCATGTAAGTCTTATTTATTATTTATTAAATAATTGAGATTAAATGTCTAAATGTTTAAATGTTTTTAACATTAAAACGTCTTAATTTTTATTTTTTTGTTTGTTAAAATAAATTAATTTATTAAATAATTAAACAAAATTATGAATAATACACCATCGAAACGAAGGCATTGAGCACATGCCTAGATGTTTTGGTATCCAATAATGTTTTGGTATCCAATAACGTTTTGGTGAGTGATCGCTAACTAGGAAAAATGCTCTAGGAATAACTGAGTAATTAGTGCCAAATTATTATTATTATTTTTTGTATATAAATTTATATATTCACATAAAAAAAGAATTTTATAGTAAAAACTATATTAAAATACAAAACATTAATTATTAATAATCAATGTTTCCTCAACAATAAATGTAAATTATTCTATCTAATAACTAGTATGATTTTATCTAATAATTAGTATCTTACGGTACATCTTAATCTATAAAAAAAACACCAACTGGTACAATGTCTTTCAAAACGCATCATATACCCCGTATATTTGAATCATCAAAATAACTTAAATTTTTTTTTTTGACAAGGCAATAGTTAGTAGTTAAGAGTTAAAAATTAGTATTTTATTCTTTAACAATATTCTACCACTAATCGGGGTGCATTTCAACGGCAGCGTTTTTGAGCTGCGGTGGCACCACTGGCGCAAAAGAGGAAATGCAACTTAAATCTTTTTATTGCACATTCATTGGAGATTCTCGCTGCAACAGGTTGACGGATGGTACTGTTTGGGGCGACTGGTATTACCAAGTGAGTAGGCTTGTCATTTCCGGCCATGATCACGACAATCTTTGGTTTTTCTGCATCGATCTCCAAAATCACTGGCAATGATATTTGCGGATTTTCTGAGGTTGATGAAGACTGTTTTCTGAAGGAGAAGATCAGCAACGCCGATGCCACTACCATTAGCAAAAACGCTAGAGACAAGCAGCAATATAGGTAAGGTAGGGAAGAAACACTTAGCTCGGTGAAGCTTGGTGTTGGGTCCTCAGAAACACTAACGGTTACTTCCATTCTTTTCCTTCTCTCACTCACTGCTTCCCCATCTTTTCTCTGGGACTCAGTGATTGCAATGGTAACAAACATTTGGAGGCAGATGGATTTATAGGTGGGGAAATTTGTAAGGAACTTGTCGTTTTAGATGCTTGAAACTAACATAATAACCTCTGTATATGTAAGGTAATGGAAGATTCTTAGTTCCTTCATTCGATGCTTTGGAATGCACTGTTATGACAATATATATATATATATATATATATAAAGGTTAAAACCTTATTTTGGTTCTTGGACTATTGTACGGAGTTCCGATTTAGTCCTTAAATTAAAAAATCCTTGATTTGGTCCTTACTGTTTACTAATTTTACCAAAACTTGGTCATTCCGTTAACACATGGACAAAAAGATACATGTCATCAAAAACACATCAGATCCCCGGCCAACAAAAAAAAATGTGGGGCCCACCTCCTACCCAAACTCACTATCTTCTCCCCTTTCTTCTCATTCGAACCCTAGAAGAGCAACAACAGCAAGCACGGGGTTCGTTCAAACCCAGGCGTTGGATTTCGTTGGAACCCAAGCGTTGGGTTTGTTTGAACCTTGGCACTAGATTCCATCAAACCCACCATGCGTGGGTTCCTTCGAACCTAGGGGCAACAAAATTTCTTTCTTTTTTTTTTTTTTTTTAATTTTTTGTGGGTTTGGTTGTTTGATGAAGATGAAGAATTGATTGATAAAGGAGGGAGGAAGGAAAAAGAAAGGGTACTTGTTGGGTTAGATTCAATCCAGGTGTTGGGTTCCTTTGAATTGATTGTTTAATTGTTTCATTAAATTGATTGTTTAATTGCTTCATTGAATTTATTGTTTAAATGAAGAAGATTCGAGAAAGAGGATGTTGGGGGAAGATAATGATGGAAAAATGGTAATTTTGGTGGGCCTCACTTTTTTTTTTCGGGTGTTGGGTAAGAATATGACCTATTATGTTACCATGTCATAATTTATCTATTTGTAAAACTGATATGTCTTAAATTTTTGACATGTCATTAAATTTCTGTTAGTTAACGATAGTTGTTTAACAAAAGGATCAATTTGAGGTAAAATTGGTAAACGGTAAGAACTAAATTAAGGATTTTTTTAGTTTAAAAACCAAATCGGGGGTCTGTACAATAGTTCAGGGATCAAAATGGGGTTTTAACTTTTTTTAAATTAACTTCAAAGTTGGTAATATTGACGGTTCTGAATTCATTGTTGTTACCATGTTACAACTTTCTACCAAACTCTCCCTTTAGCCACGTTATAATTAGTGCTTAATTTCACTAAAAATCCTTCAACTTAATAATAAGAGTTATTGTCATCTTTTTACTTAAAAGATTTCATAAAATCCCTTCAACTTGGAGAAAGAGCCAACTATCATCCTTCAGTTACCTGACATCATAACCCCGACCAGTACCCGTTAAAGTTCTCTGAATTTTAACGGTAAAATAGCTTTGTTCATACCTAAACTTTCAGTTTCTAGCACTTTGATACTCAAACTTTGGATTTATCCAATTTGGTCTCTAATTTCATTTTGGTCCCTCTACTTTAATGAAACCCCTTTTTAATTCTTAAAGTTTATTATACAACCCCCTTGTAATCCATCCATTAAGTTTTTTTTACACATGACACATTAATTGATAGGAACTTGCTTATTTTTCATTCAAACCAAATATGTGGATATTCCATATGTAAAAAAGCATGGTGAAGTAGATATGTGCCAAATTTTCTTATGAAAAAATCATTATCTTAATAAAAAAAATAACATGTCATAATTTATATAAATAATTTTGTAAGACCCATTCACATTATTTGTTTAAATTATCATACATACTATTTTAATATTAAAAACTAAAATTAGGAGCAAACTTACCTTGATTGATATAATCTATTAATAATAATAGTAAACTCCAATAATTAATTAATTAATTATTTTTATAATCTTAATTAAGGCTTAATTAAAGCAACAAAATTAGAAAAGAAAATGGAAAGCTCGCGACTAGTCTTCTTCTCTAGAACCCCTAAAATTTCAAGCTTCACAAACCCTAATTAAATATAAATCCCTCTACAATTCTTTTTCCAAGGAACCATCGCCATGGATGCAAATTTTCAAGATTTGTTGGTAAGAATCTAATGTCTCTGGTATTGTTTTGTCATGCCTCTTGGCAAAGAAGCAAAATAGTCTAGGGGTCTTCCTATTCAAGATGTTTTTAAAACGTGTTGCTTGCCGATCAAGAAGAAGGTATGGGCTATACAACCAAATTGGATTTCGAGTAAGCCTTTTTTGGATCAAAATTAATTTGTGATGGGATTGTGGTAGAGAGCTGGGGTTATCAAAGCAAGGGATGAAGGGACATTGGAGTTATAAGTAGCAGTGTAGATGGGATGGTCGAAGGAGGCAACTACAAAGTAGTGGTCGTAATGAGGGGTAGTGCGGTAGTGGTAGGTGGTGGAGAGGTATTGTTGGAGAGAGAGTTTCAACAATATCATAGACGATCATGGCTATGACCAAGAGATGGAAAGCCAAAGAAGAGTTAAATGTTAGAGGAGGGTTAAGGTCAATTTTGCAATTTTAGTTTTTAGGGTTTAGGTTTCATGTTTAATATTTACATGAGATGCAATATCATCACTTCTTTTCGAGTTGGATTTTTCATGTCATTTATACAATGAAAAAATCAGGCAATCCCATTAATTAGTGGGCCACATTAGCAAAAAGATAATAGAGGGACTAAAAATAGGCCAAATAATAAACTCTAAGGACTAAATATGGGCTTTCTTAAGTATAAGGACCAAAAGGAAAATTTTGTTAAAGTAAAGAGACCAAAATAATAAATATCATATAACTTCTAATAAATTGTCCTAGAAAGGTCTTTGATACTCAATTTGGAATCCTATGAAATATTATAATCAAAACAATGAAGTTACAAATATGTGACATGACTTGCAAGTGTGGGGATACATATAGTTGTATGAACACAATGACCTAACTTTGGCATTGTTTCTTTCTTTGTTTTTCAAATACTAAATTGGGGTATCAAAATTTTGATTTTTCACTTTATTTAGACAAATTTTATATTGAATACGGATTTATTTACATATAAGTTTTACATACTACATTTATATAAAATCTCTACTATTCATGTTTACACTTTTAATAGTTGAGATTCATGTTTACACTTTTAATAGTTGAGATTTATCATGCCTTTTTAAATAAAAAAATAATTATTTTTAATAACTATAAATAAATTTTACATGTAATATTTATGTAAAATTTTTGAGATTCATGTTTACACTTTTAATAGTTGAGATTTATCATGCCTTTTTAAATAAAAAAATAATTATTTTTAATAACTGTGAATAAGGATTATGTGTTTGGGATTACTATGAGGTGTTATGGTTGTAGTTGTGTGGCTGTATTATACTGTATTATAACTGTGGCTAAAAGTTATTTTGATGTTTGAGTATTTATTTCTTAAAAATATTGTGAATCACATATGGTAAATCTTATTAATTATTAATTAAAATTTAAAAAATATTGTATAATATATAATTACTAAAAAAATTATTGTAAAGCAAAATCATGTTTCAATATCATCAATTAACAACAATTATAATTATAATTAACAAAGGAAAGATGCCAATTCTAATTTGATAAATTAGAAGATGAAAATTTAGGGAAAAAATATTATAATTAAACATTACAATGACAAAAAGAAAATCATTTTCAATTTAAATATATTAATAGAAAAATGTTATTTTTTGATATTCACCTAAAGGAAGATTCAACATTGGCGCTCCTTACAGTGAGAAAAGAAACCAATTGTTCTCAATATGAAAGAAATTGAGGTAAATGATTAGTATTTAAAAGAAATATAGTTAGGGCAATTACCATTAGGTTTAGGTTTTGGGTTGGGTGGGTATTCCATAGGCTGGGTTTCCTACAGTAGAGGAATGGAGTTTATAATTTTGTAATTGTTTTGTTAGAGTTTTAATGAGTAATTTTGTAATCGTATTAAATATTAGATTTTATCTGTAAAAACCACAGTAAAAAAGCTCTAAATATAGCTTTTGGTTATATATATAAAATTGATGTTGATCTGCTGTGACTTTTTATAATTTTTAGAAAAAGTAGTTTGTTAAAAAATTACCAAATACATATATATTTAAAAGCACTATGTGGTTAAAAGAAAAAGACCGTAACTACAAATCCAAACGCACCCTAAATCTCAACCATTGAAAATGAAAATATAATAGTTGAAATTTTGTGTAAATGTGATGCGTAACATTAGTGTGTAAGTAGATCTCTACTTTTTTATATATTTTAGTTTGCTATTTTAGCCCTAATTTTACTGATATTTGGATAAATTGAATGTGATTTATTGGATTTTACATGATTTTTATTATGTGTATAAAAAATAACGTGAAATTAGAAAATTTTAGAAAATTTGAGACTTAAGTGTAACTATTTACAAAGTATAGAACTAAAGTGCAATAAAAAAAGTTAAAGTTAGGGACCAAATTGAATAAAAATGAAGTTTGAGCATAAAGTGCACAAAAACTGAAATTTGAAAGACTAACAATGTCATTTCATTGGAGGAACTTAACGGAAACATGGACGTATGTTATAACCCGGGTTAATGGAGGGATGATGCTTGTACTTTTTCCGGAGGGATTTTCATAAATATTTTAAAGTAAAAGCATGACAATAACTGCTTTTACTAAAAGGATTTTCAGTGGCATTAAGAGGCTTAACCCCCTGTGCCCCCTCCAACTTGTTGTCATTGAGGGTTTTAGCCCCTCGAAAAACAATATCTATTATTTAACCCTTAATTAAACTTCTTGTTTTTGAGAGTTTTAGCTCAAAATCGACAGTAGTTAGTCACATCCGTCCCTAAGCCATTAACTCGTGCCTATTCAGCACCATGTCATTGCTATGTTGGAGGAAATGTTCCTATCCAGACCAATGGAGATGGAAAAACTTGACTTAACAGCCTTGAACTTGTTGTCTTAGAAAGCTTTAGCCTATCAACATATAATAGCTTAATTTAATTTTTAGTCTATTAACTATCACCTTGATTTCATTTTAGTCTAAAAACTATGTTTTATTTCTAAGTGGTTTATTAACTTTCAGATTCATTTCAATTTCGTCTACTTAGTCAAAGATAACGGAAAACTTTCTATTCTGTTAGAGAACAATTAGTCCTTTAACTATATTTTTTTGATCTTTTAGTCCTTAAATTTATATTTGTTATAAAAATAATTTTTTTTACTTAAAATTATTATTTATAGGCACTGATACCATATTTTTATACGGGTTTTCCTATTTCTTTAATTTGGTATTAGAGCTTGAAAGATAATAGACCACTTAGAAATAATAATTTTAAGTATAAAAATCTGGTATCAGAGCCTAAAAATAATAATTTTAAGTATAAAAGCT